TATTTCCTAAAAGTCAGGGACCAAACTGTCGGTTTTTGAAACTTAGGGACCAAATAGAAACCTATCCTCAAACTTAGAGACCAAAAGCGTATTTTACCCTTTCTAATATTTTTTTTCTTATCTTTAACTGTTAATTGATAATAAAAGAAAATAACTCTTACTTACTTCCAAAGAATTGATATAAGACTATAAATAGGAGCTACAAAGAAGAAAATAAAAGAAATCCTAATAGAGGATAAGAAAACACTTACCTATTGGAACAAGGAAACCTAACCTACTAAAATACAATAGGAAATTAAAAGATAACAATATAAGTTAACACTCCGCCTCAAGCTGGTGAATGAATATTTTCTATTCCCAGCTTGTTAACCAAATGCTCAAAGTTGTTGTTGTTCAATCCTTTAGTAAGGATATCTGCTATTTGATTATTTGTTGGTACAAATGGAGTCTATATGAGACCGCCCTCTAACTTCTCTTTTATGAAGTGTCTATCAACCTCAACATGTTAGGTTCTATCATGTTGAACTGGATTATGTGCAATACTTTTTTTATATAGGAAACTGCACTTTTCGTTAAGATAAATGAAAAATAATACAAAAAAAAACGGGCATATAAAAACAAAAGCCCGCAAGGGGAAACCCTAGCTATAGAAAGGCTTCCAATCCAAAAGAATGTAACCTAATTGATAATTGAGACAACCCCATAAAGAAACGTTAAATCTCACAAGCTCCCAAACTGTCTCGCTATCTCTCTCCACCCCCAAAAAATTCTACCATTCCTTTCCAACCAAATTCCCCACAAGATTGCAAAGAAACAAGCTTGCCACAAAAACCTCCCTTTCTCACTAAACGGAGAAGCCGAGAGCACTTCCTCCACCATAGCCCCCCAATTTCTATTCTGGACCCAAGAAACTTCAAACATCCCAAAGAACTGGTTCTAAATCTTCTGGGCAAAATTGCAATGCCAAAGAATATGATCAAGACTTTCAGAGTGTTGCTTGCAAAGAACACACCATTGAGGACCCAAACAAGAAGAAGAATGCTTTTGGATACGATCCACGGAATTGATTCTCCCAAGTATGACCTGCCATACGAAAAAAACTTAATCTTCTTTGGGATTTTGACTTTTCAAAACGAGGCAAACACAAGGGCAGTCGAGGAAGGATTAGAGGAACACAAAATTTTAAAGAAGGAACTGCAAGAGAAACCCCTAGGAGTAGGGGCCCAAACACGGACATCCTTCCTATCCCAAGAGAAATGAACATCAGAGAGAAGATGGAGCAACTCACTCACTTCCCGAGACTCTCTGTTAGTTAAAGACCGATTGAGACCTAAGGAAATAGATAGCCCTTCCACCCCAAAGCCAAAAGCATCGAGGCCACCGAATGCAACCTCCTGTCTGATAAAAGAAAGAGACGAGGAAGTAAAGAACAAAGGGGCTTTTCTCTCACCCAATGGTCCTCCAAGAACTAAGTGTCATAACCATCTCCAACCACACAAGACAAATATTGGGAGAAGAGAGGAAAGCCCGAGGATAGGATTCTATGCAATATTGATGGCAGATTTATTATCAAAGTAAAGTTTCAAAGGCAATTTCCATGGAATCTCAAACATTCTAAAATAATCTTTATCCATAGTAATTCGCAGATGTCCATTTCTCTAAATTCCGCTTCTGAGCTCGATCTTGCAATTATATTTTGTTTTTTACTTCTCCATGTCACTAAGTTTCCACCTAAGAAAGTACAATAGCCATAAGTGGATTTTCTATCATCTATCAATCTTGCATAATCTGCATTTAAACTTCTAGATTGAGTTTCTCGCCTTTCTTAAACAGTAATCCTCTCCCAATGGAATTCTTCAAATAGTGAAGTATTCGGTACACAGCTGGAAGATGAACTTCTTTTGGACTAGGCATAAATTGACTTACGAGTCCTACAACATACGCAATATCTGGTCTCGTATGAGAAAGATACATTAATTTCCCAACTAACCTTTCCTTATTTACAAGAGGACACTCTTCAGATGCACATAATCTATGGTTTTGATCGATCGACGTTCCCATTGGTCTACTGCCAAGCTTTCTTGTTTTAGAAAGTAAGTCAATCACATATTTATGTTTTGATTGGAATATGCCTTGTTTAGAATGGGCAACTTTTATCGCAAGAAAATATTTCAGCTTTCCTAGTTCTTTTAACTTCGAACTCTTGGATTAAAGAATTTCTTAATTTATCTTGTTCGTTATTATCATTGCTAGTGACAATAATATCATTGACACAAACAATCAATGTTGTCACTCCCCCTACAGTAGAATGTTTTATAAACGATGTATGATCTCCTTGACTTTGTTTATAGTCTATCTTCCTCATAACTTGAGAAAATCTACCAAACCATGTCCTAGGAGATTGCTTTAATCCATATAACGCCTTTTTTAGTTTACAAACTTTATTTCCTGCTTGCTCATACCCAGGTGGAATCTCCATATAAACTTCTTCAAGATCACCATGCTGAAAAGCATTTTTTACATCATATTGTAACATGTCTCATCCATGATTTATAGCAAGAGATAGAAGTATTCATACTGTGTTTATCTTGGCAACAGGCGCAAAAAAGATAATCAAATCCATATGTTCGAGCATATCCCTTAGCAACCAACCGTGTTTTTGTACCTCTCAAGTGTTYCATATGCTTTATACTTCACAGTATATATCCATCGACATCCTACAGCTTTCTTATCTTTAGGCATAGTAACAAACTCTCATGTTCTATTTTTCTCTAAAGCCTACATTTCAATATTCATTGCTTGCCTCCATTCTTCATGTTGTATTGCCTCCATTTATGTTTTTGGAATATTTATCTGAGTAAGTTTAACCATAAAACTTTTGTATTGCCTTAAAAGTTTGTCATATGATACAAAGTGAGACAATGGATACTGAGTACAACTTCGTTTTCCCTTCCTTAAAGCAATCGACAAATCCAGGTGTGACTCATCATTAGCAAATATTGTAATGTCTAACTCATCATTAGCAGATACTATAATGTCTAATTCATCATTAGCAGATACTATAAAGCCTGATTCATCATTAGCAGTTACAGTGATATTTGATTCATCACTGATTCTTTTCTTGTCAATTTCAGTTCCAAAGATATGTTCAAGCTCTTGAACTTGCTCATCTTTTACGGTGTTCCTTCTTGAATAAACCTGTAATGGTATAGTAGTAGAAGGGTTAGATGGTCGTGGTGAGGTGTCTATGGGTGGTAAAAATGAAGACGATTGACTAATGTTAGGGTAAATATAAATAGGGTTTGGTACAGGTGATGGTAAAGGATTTGATACAGGAAATGTGAGTTTAGGAATGGGCAAATCCTTATCTTCCAACCATTGTAAGGTCCCTTTTCTTTTCAATGTGGGATCCTTAACATGCCTCCACAAGGTCGTGGCTCTTTTGGCTCATCGATCATGGCCAGATCCCATTTTATGGACCAGATGCTCGTTTGAGCTTTTGGGCTCTGATACCATATTAATATTTATGGGGTTCCATCTTGAAACCAATTAGCTATGAGAGGAGTAGCCCACATTTATTATTAACCATTGTAAGGTCCCTTTTCTTTCAATATGGGATCCTTAACAAAGACAAGTAGTGACCAGTATATATGGAACCAACAAATTCGGTTGGTTCGCTTTTGGGAACAAGATTGTAAGCAATCGTGGCGCGTAGTGGAGAAACATTCTATCTTCAAAGTTAGAAGTGGTGTACGTATTCTTTTTTTGGCACCATCGATGGTTGGGGGACTCAATACTAAAAGAACGGTTTCCTACTTTATTTCAAATTTCTTCGGCCCCTTTTATCTCAGTTCATGAGGCTTGGGATTCATGCTCTTTCTTCTTGGAGAATTGAAACAAGAAGAAATCTTAAAGATGAAGAATTTGGTGATTATTTAATACACTTATCAAGTTTAAATTTATTTAATACACTTATCAAGTTTAAATTCAATTATCTTGCAAGAGGAGGAAGACCAGTTGGCGTGGAGTTTGGCGTGGAGTTTGGAATCTTCAGGGTCTTTTCGGTTGCTTCTTTATGCAAGCCTAGAAAGCAATCTTTCTTGATGACAAATGATCAATGCTCTAGGCTATGGCGAACGAGAAGTCCAAAAAGGGTTAATATCTTTTCTTGGATTCTTATTAACGGATAAGTCAACACAGCAGAAGTTCTTCAAAAGAAATCACCACATATGCATTTGCAACCATCCATTTGTGTTACTCAGTTGATGTTCAGTCCCTTTTTATCTCCTAAAGCGAGCCTTCTTTGGGTAAATGGTGTCAAAGCTATCATCTCGGAGCTTTGGTTTGAGAGAAATCAAAGGATTTTTGAGGAAAAAAGAAGACCTTCGATGGAGCGCTTCAACTTGACTAAGTTTAAAGTGTCTCAATGGTGTGCTCTATCCGATCTTTTTTGCCCATTATTCTCCAAACATGATATATGCTAATTGGGGGGCTTTCCTTTTCCCTAGTTAGATATATATAGGATGATACTTTGTCTTTTTATTTTTACTATTTTGGACTGTATCTCTTTATTTTATGTTTTTTCACTCCCGTGGGAGTTTGTATCTTTGAACATTTTATGTTTCTTTTCATTTATCAATGAAAAGTTCATTTCTTATTAAAAGAAAATAAATGTTTATATATATATATATTCCAACAGAAACATTCACTGATGGTATTAAATATAACAAAAGAGGGACACTAGTGAAAGGGGAGGATAGCGATAGCCAAACCGCATCCCATAGGAGGTCACAGAAAACTCCCCCATTTGGATAGAAAAGAATTCAGACTATAATTTTGAAAGGAAGAGATAATTTTACACTGCGACACAGCCAAGTATGTTAGCCAGTAAAAAAAAAGCATATTGTTATCCACACAAAAACATAATTTATGATAGAAAAAAAATTCTGATTAATTTTTCTTTTTGATGAAAGTATAGATAGAAAAAATCAGGTAATTACCTTCTCAATCTCTGCATACTGAATTTTTTTCTCAAGTCCACTAATTCTCCCAGATTTTTCAGACTCCTTTACTTGCATCTCTCTGATTGATCCAAGTTCATCTAGCTCTGATTCATACTGTTCTTTCTTTTTCTTGAGTCCTACAATACAGCAAGCAATTTGGTAAAGTTCCAAAAGACATGAATCAGTGAATGGATTGAGTACCTTCAATCTTTTTATCGTCCCATTTGTTTGACCTTGCTTCCATGCCACCACTAGTACCCCCAGTCATTGTGCCAGATTTCGTAAGCAAAATCCCATCAACAGTTACAACTAGTTCAAGCATAAACAGATGAAGCCATAAGATAAACCTGATGCACAATCAAAAATAATTTAAAATTGACTAAAAAGTTACCTTTATGCCTTTCTCCACTCCAGCTCAGAGCCTTGGCTTCATCAAGATCATCACAAACTAGAGTATTTCCCACAGCAAAAATAATTGCCTTCTCCAATATCGGATTAAAAGTGTGATTGGTTAAGCATACAAACTCATAGAATTTTCTCGCCTATTACCCACTAGCAGTTTAGAATTACCAGAATATGATAAAGAAACGACAATCATAAATTGGTAGTGGATTTTCATTTCCTGACCAAAAAAAAAATGCATTTAAAATTATTTCAGGGGAAAATTTCAGTTTTTTAGCCGTATGATCAGCACAATGAGTCAAATTTAACCTTTAAGGTTTTAATTTTATAGAAACGAACCCTAAACTTAAGTAGTGTGATTAATACCCAACCTTTTTCTTTTTTTCTTTTTTTTTTTTGTGAAAGAAACAATTTCATTGATGTATGAAATTACAAAAGCCTCAAAGGAGGATTACCTGAAGCACTTCCAATTGGCTAAAAGGTATGTGTAGCTATAGTTGTGAAACATAGGGGAGGATTTACACCAAGTAATGACTGTAAAGACTATAGCTTCAAAAAAAATTTCAAAAGGGAGAGTTTTGTCGCTGAAGATGCGTTGGTTGCGTTCTCTCCAAGTGACCCAAAGGAAGGCACGCATAAAGTTCTGCCAAAGAAGAGCTTTCTCTTTTCTGAATGGGTGTCCGATTAGAGTAGTTTCAATGAGGAGAGGGGAATCTGTTGGCAGAGCAGTGTACCAACCAAATGTGCTAAGGATGAGGTTCCAGAATTTGGTTGCAAAGAGGCAGGAGACGAAGAGGTGCTGTTTCAACATGGGCAGTCCTAGTCCCCCTTCCAAAATCGACTGCTGTGTAATATTCCACTTGACTAGGTGTATCCCATTAGCATCTTTGTTGCCTTTTCAAAGAAAGTTTCTAGAGAGGCTTTCTAAAGTGTTAGCAACTTTAGATGGTAAATGAAACAGGGCGAGATAGTAGGTAGGGAGATTTGCTAAAGTAGCTTGTATAAGCGTGTGTCGGCCACCTTTGGAGATGTAGGAATTTCTCCATAAGAGCAATCTTCTCTTCACTTTTTCAACCAATGGATCCCAAAATGTCAGGGATTTAGGCTTACCATGTAAGGGCAGACCAAGATAGAGAGAAGGCCATGATCCCTCCTTGCAATGGAATCTGGATGCAAGGGCAGCAAGCCCACTGCCAGTTAAATTAATTCCCAAAATTTCGTCTGATTTCTGATGGTTGATTTTGAGCCCAGATGCCTCTTCGAAAAGCCGGCTGATGCCGGCTGATGTTGAACATATTATTGAGGGGGTCGTCATCAAAAGTGGAGAAAAGGATTGTGTCATCTGCAAACTGTAGATGGTGTATGTTCAAGGAGTTGTTACCCAGATCAAACCCCTTTATGAGGTTGTGGTGAGCTGATTGTGACATTAGACGACTGAACACATCAGCTATTAAAATAAAGAGAAAGGGTGATAAAGGGTCACCTTGACGCAAGCCTCTAGAAGTGATGATTTTGCCTCTCGAGCAGCCATTGATTATGATGGAGAAGTTTGCAGAAGATATACAACCTCGAATCCATTTTCTCCAAGTAGATCCAAACCGTTTAGCCTCTAGGACAGCATCAAGAAAGTCCCAATCTACACAGTCAAAGGCCTTTTCAATGTCCAGCTTCACTACCACTCCTTTCTTTTGGCGTCTCTCTCAATCCCAATCTTCTATGAGCTCATTGGCAATCAAAGATGCATCAAGAATTTGCCTCCCAGCCACAAAGGCTGATTGTCCTTTTTCTTTTTTTCAAGATTTGTAGATAGCTGTATGAGCGTTCTTGTAACTAGATAAGATTATTTCTATTAATACCAGTTTTTCTAGTTCTTTTGTATGCTTTTTAGCTTCAGATTTAGGAATTTTGATGGTTTACCTTCTTAATTTTATGGCTAGCTTCAGAAATTTTCATAGTTGGGTTTTGGTATTTCTATGACTTTGACTTGCGGTGTTTTGTACGTGGAATTTTGTAAGATTTATTAGTTGGTTCGTAATTAATACTTCAATTTTATTTTCAAAAGTATTAATTTCTACTTATTCAAGTTTTGAGTAAATTTTGATCAAATTAAAAGTTTCAAGTTAAAAATGACTCGTTAAGCTATGTACCAAGGTAAAAATGTTTTTTCCTCATTTAAAATATTTTATGTAACATTGAGTACTTTAACTTAACACACAGTTATGTACCCAGACGTCGGTGAAAAGGATAATCTCCAAACATAAATCAGAAACAAGGAAGAAGGGTATGAAACTGGAAAGTAGACAAGTGTTTCTGCTCCAGTGTCCAAGAAACAGAATCACAGAAGGATATTGGATAACATCAAAGACCAGCTTCGCACTACCACCTAAAGCACGCAATCTCTCAATGATGGGCTTTACACGAACTGACTGAAGAGGTATGAATGTTTGAGGAGGAAGTTTTTGTTCTTTCAAATACTGCAGGAAAGCCAGGAACCTAATTGCATTTAATACAATGTAAACCAAACCCCTTGTATCAAAACTAATAAAGGTACACCAAATTTGATAACAATGGCAGGCAAGTTTTTTTTTAAACAAGATACAACTTTTCATCGATGGAATGAAAAGGAACAATAAAATGTTCAAAGATCAAACTCCTGAAAGAGTGAAACAAAAAGAACAAAAATAAGAAAACATATAAAACAAATTACAGAAAACAATGGCAGGCAAGTTAAATACAAAAAACTGCAAGAGCATTGAGATCACAGATATAATTTATCATCTAAGGTAGAAATCAAATAAAGGAAGAAAATGCAGCACCAAAGATTTTCAAGAACATGTTGAAGATTTTAATTCTATTTAGGAGAACTTCTAAATCAGAACTTGTCTATATTCTTCTTACTATGGCATGAACAGCACTTTGCGTTTAACATTACTTCTAAATGAGTGTTATATTTTTGTTTGAAAAATAAAGAAGAATTTCTCTTCCATCATAAGTTCGTTTGATATCCAGACATGTAATCTCATAAATTAACAGATTTAATATTCGTACACACCAAAAAAAAACCTGTAATCCAAATAGATCATTTAGATTTTATGTTTGTTTCATTGGGAATGCCCTGTAAAACAGGGAAATCTATTGCTTGCTGACAACCATGACTTAGAAAGTCCAGTGCTAAAAAGAACTGCAAAGCAACTAACTTATCAGAAAAATAACATTGAGCTTCATCAGTTTCCCCACTCCCTCCGCACAGAAAAGGTCCATCCTTGGACTATGCTGCCAAATTCAGTCATCAGGAGGAGAGCATTTCAAACGAAGGTGAAGCTTCTCAGATTCCAACAATGTAGAGAACTTCTGCTTTCAATTCAACCCCATGCAGCAAAATAAAAGAGGCCTTAGTATGGCAAATCTGTACCCCATTTCTCAAATTTAAGATAAAGTCTACCCACCGCACACCAGCCTATCGAATAGTTGAATGCACCAAATCTTGGCTTGATAGCATCCATGCATAGAATAGTTGCTTTGTTGGATTAGAAGAGATTTAAGGATAAAACAGGGCCCAGGTTTTCTGGAGAGCTAAAAAAATCGTGTAGAAAGGATAATGTTAGGATAACAAAAATCCATGCCACCTTTCTGTTTGGTAATCATTTTTTCCATCAACAACTTTGCTAAGACTTTGGGAGATGTTCAAAGTTTTCTCTGTGGCCCCTGGAGGATAGAAGATTTTGTTTGTCAATAAGTCCATTGGCTTTTTTAGGGTTTTTCATGTAG